AGCACACACACAGAGTCACACACAGTCAGTGTAATGTTGAACACAGTTTCTGACATTTACACATGAGTCCACAACACAGAGTCCTGGATCCACAGGGGCTAGGTAACAACACACACACACACACACACACACACACACACAGTCCACAACACAGAGTCCACACACAGAGTCACACACACACACAGTGTTGGGTCCTGAACCAGCAGTGTCAGGAAACAGGGTGCAGCTCAGTTTCTGAACTTCAGGAGTTTGTTCAGTGACAGAAAATGCTTCAGTAAAAATACCAGTCTCCACAACACAGATTCTTGATCAGATTATTGATCAGATTATTATCAGATTATTGAACAGCAGAGTCCAACAGGTAGTTAGCTTTGTTCCTCTGCCCGTGGACTGATCCTATGTGTCCCTATGTAGGACGAGGGTCAAAGGTTGTGACCTTTATGCCCCAGTGCCAACAGTGGGCAACACAGAGTCCAACACAGAGTCCACAACACAGAGTCCAACACAGAGTCCACAACACAGAGTCCACAACACAGAGTCCAACACAGAGTCCACAACACAGAGTCCAACACAGAGTCCACAACACAGAGTCCACAACACAGAGTCCACAACACAGAGTCCAACACAGAGTCCACAACACAGAGTCCACAACACAGAGTCCACAACACAGAGTCCAACACAGAGTCCACAACACAGAGTCCACAACACAGAGTCCAACACAGAGTCCACAACACAGAGTCCACAACACAGAGTCCAACACAGAGTCCACAACACAGAGTCCACACACAGAGTCCACAACACAGAGTCCACAACACAGAGTCCACAACACAAAGTCCACAACACAGAGTCCACAACACAGAGTCCAACACAGAGTCCACAACACAGAGTCCAACACAGAGTCCACAACACAGAGACCACAACACAGAGTCCACAACACAGAGTCCAACACAGAGTCTACAACACAGAGTCCACAACACAGAGTCCAACACAGAGTCCACAACACAGAGTCCAACACAAAGTCTACAACACAGAGTCCACAACACAGAGTCCAACACAGAGTCCACAACACAGAGTCCACAACACAGAGTCCAACACAGAGTCCACAACACAGAGTCCACTACACAGAGTCCAACACAGAGTCCACAACACAAAGTCCACAACACAGAGTCCAACACAGAGTCCAACACAGAGTCCACAACACAGAGTCCAACACAAAGTCCACAACACAGAGTCCACAACACAGAGTCCACAACACAGAGTCCACAACACAGAGTCCACAACACAGAGTCCACAACACAGAGTCCACAACACAGAGTCCACAACACAGAGTCCAACACAGAGTCCACAACACAGAGTCCAACACAGAGTCCAACACAGAGTCCACAACACAGAGTCCAACACAAAGTCCACAACACAGAGTCCACAACACAGAGTCCAACACAGAGTCCACAACACAGAGTCCAACACAGAGTCCAACACAGAGTCCACAACACAGAGTCCAACACAGAGTCCACAACACAGATCCAACACAGAGTCCACAACACAGAGTCCAACAACACAGAGTCCAACACAGAGTCCAACACAGAGTCCAACACAGAGTCCAACACAAAGTCCACAACACAGAGTCCACAACACAGAGTCCAACACAGAGTCCAACACAGAGTCCACAACACAGAGTCCACAACACAGAGTCCAACACAGAGTCCAACACAGAGTCCACAACACAGAGTCCAACACAGAGTCCAACACAGAGTCCACAACACAGAGTCCAACACAGAGTCCACAACACAGAGTCCAACACAGAGTCCACAACACAGAGTCCAACACAAAGTCCACAACAACAGAGTCCACAACACAGAGTCCAACACAAAGTCCACAACACAGAGTCCAACACAGAGTCCACAACACAGAGTCCACAACACAGAGTCCAACACAGAGTCCACAACACAGAGTCCACAACACAGAGTCCAACACAGAGTCCAACACAGAGTCCACAACACAGAGTCCACAACACAGAGTCCAAACACAGAGTCCAAAACAAGTCCAACAGAGTCCACAACACAGAGTCCACAACACAGAGTCCAACACAGAGTCTACAACACAGAGTCCACAACACAGAGTCCACAACACAGAGTCCAACACAGAGTCCAACACAGAGTCCACAACACAGAGTCCACAACACAGAGTCCAACACAAAGTCCACAACACAGAGTCCACAACACAGAGTCCACAACACAGAGTCCAACACAGAGTCCAAACACAGAGTCCACAACACAGAGTCCAACACAGAGTCCACAACACAGAGTCCAACACAGAGTCCACAACACAGAGTCCAACACAAAGTCCACAACACAGAGTCCAAACACAGAGTCCAACACAGAGTCCACAACACAGAGTCCAACACAGAGTCCACTACACAGAGTCCAACACAGAGTCCAACACAGAGTCCAAACACAGAGTCCACAACACAGAGTCCAACACAGAGTCCACAACACAGAGTCCAACACAGAGTCCACAACACAGAGTCCAACACAGAGTCCACAACACAGAGTCCACAACACAGAGTCCACAACACAGAGTCCACAACACAGAGTCCAACACAGAGTCCACAACACAGAGTCCACAACACAGAGTCCAACACAGAGTCCACAACACAGAGTCCAACACAGAGTCTACAACACAGAGTCCAACACAGAGTCCAACACAGAGTCCACAACACAGAGTCCAACACAGAGTCCACAACACAGAGTCCAACACAAAGTCCACAACACAGAGTCCACAACACAGAGTCCAACACAAAGTCCACAACACAGAGTCCAACACAGAGTCCAACACAGAGTCCAACACAGAGTCCAAACAGAGTCCACAACACAGAGTCCAACACAAAGTCCACAACACAGAGTCCACAACACAGAGTCCACAACACAGAGTCCAACACAAAGAGTCCACAACACAGAGTCCACAACACAGAGTCCACAACACAGAGTCTACAACACAGAGTCCACAACACAGAGTCCAAACACAGAGTCCAACACAGAGTCCAACACAGAGTCCACAACACAAGGTCCACAACACAGAGTCCAACACAACAACACAGAGTCCACAACACAGAGTCCAACACAGAGTCCAACACAGAGTCCAACACAGAGTCCAACACAGAGTCCACAACACAGAGTCCACAACACAGAGTCCAACACAGAGTCCACAACACAGAGTCCAACACAGAGTCCACAACACAGAGTCCAACACAAAGTCCACAACACAGAGTCCACAACACAGAGTCCAACACAAAGTCCACAACACAGAGTCCAACACAGAGTCCAACACAGAGTCTACAACACAGAGTCCACAACACAGAGTCCAACACAGAGTTCAACACAGAGTCCACAACACAGAGTCCAACACAAAGTCCACAACACAGAGTCCACAACACAGAGTCCAACACAAAGTCCACAACACAGAGTCCACAACACAGAGTCCAACACAGAGTCCACAACACAGAGTCCACAACACAGAGTCCACAACACAGAGTCCAACACAGAGTCCACAACACAGAGTCCACAACACAGAGTCCAACACAAAGTCAACACAAAGTCCACAACACAGAGTCCAACACAGAGTCCAACACAGAGTCCACAACACAGAGTCCAACACAGAGTCCAACACAGAGTCCACAACACAGAGTCCAACAACAGAGTCCACAACACAGAGTCCAACACAGAGTCCACAACACAGAGTCCAACACAGAGTCCACAACACAGAGTCCACAACACAGAGTCCAACACAGAGTCACGTCCACAACACAGAGTCCAACACAGAGTCCACAACACAGAGTCTACAACACAGAGTCCACAACACAGAGTCCAACACAGAGTCCAACACAGAGTCCACAACACAGAGTCCAACACAGAGTCCAACACAGAGTCCAACACAGAGTCCACAACACAGAGTCCAACACAAAGTCCACAACACAGAGTCCACAACACAGAGTCCAACACAAAGTCCACAACACAGAGTCCAACAGAGTCCAACACAGAGTCTACAACACAGAGTCCACAACACAGAGTCCAACACAGAGTCCACAACACAGAGTCCAACACAAAGTCCACAACACAGAGTCCACAACACAGAGTCCAACACAAAGTCCACAACACAGAGTCCACAACACAGAGTCCAACACAGAGTCCACAACACAGAGTCCAACACAGAGTCCACTACACAGAGTCCAACACAGAGTCCACAACACAGAGTCCACAACACAGAGTCCAACAAAGAGTCCACAACACAGAGTCCACAACACAGAGTCCAACACAGAGTCCACAACACAGAGTCCAACACAGAGTCCAACACAAAGTCCACAACACAGAGTCCACAACACAGAGTCCAACACAGAGTCCAACACAGAGTCCAACAACACAGAGTCCAACAACACAGAGTCCACAACACAGAGTCCAACAACACAGAGTCCACAACACAGACTCCAACACAGAGTCCACAACACAGAGTCCACAACACAGAGTCCAAACACAGAGTCCAACACAGAGTCCAACACAGAGTCCACAACACAGAGTCCAACAACAAAGAGTCCACAACACAGAGTCCAACACAAAGTCCACAACACAGAGTCCACAACACAGAGTCCAACACAGAGTCCACAACACAGAGTCCAACACAAAGTTCAACACAGAGTCCACAACACAGAGTCCAACACAGAGTCCACAACACAGAGTCCAACACAGAGTCCAACAACACAGAGTCCAACAACACAGAGTCCACAACACAGAGTCCAACAACACAGAGTCCACAACACAGAGTCCAACACAGAGTCCAACACAGAGTCCACAACACAGAGTCCAACACAGATCCTTCGGCTCTAGCTGGGTGGGAGAGAGAGACAGAGAGAGAGAGAAGAGAGAGAGAGAGAGAGAGAGAGAGAGAGAGAGAGAGAGAGAGACAGACAGACAGACAGACAGACAGACAGACAGACAGACAGGCAGGTGCACAGCAGCAACAGTATTGGCAATGGCAATCTAGCAGGACCATGGCAGGAGGCTCCACCAGGATCGATAAGAACCTGTGAGACGAGAAAGCACAAGAACTCCGGGGAAGAAGTGAAGTTAGTAACATGCATTAATGGAACATGAATGAGTGCAGAAAGAGAGAGGAAGAGAGGAGCTCAGTGCACCATGGGAAATCCCCCGATAGTCTAGGCCTATAGCAGCATAACTAAGGGATGGTTCAGGACTCACCTGATCCAGCCCTAACTATAAGCTTTATCAAAGAGGAATGTCTTAAGCCTACTCTTAAATTCACCCTTTCACACACATTAACACACAGATGCACGGCATCGGGAGCAATTTGGGGTTCAGTATCTTGCTCAAGGATACTTCGACATGTGGCACCAGGAGCCGGGGATCGGACCCACAACCTTCCGATTACGGAACGACCCGCTCTGCCTCTGAGCCACAGCCTCCCAGCTAATGTTAGCTTCCCCAGCTAACGTGATCCATGATACTAACTTATGTATTCTGATGTTAGCCAACAATAAATGATGCTAACAGTACAAAGCTAACGATAGCTTTCTACTTGTGATGCGAGGGAGGGGGCATCCAGCAGCTAACTGTAGCTAAGCTAACTGGGGTTGTCCAGCTGGCTGTGTCTGGGCTGCGCGGTGTGGGTCTGCCGTTGGTTGCTTCGTGGTGTTGGCTGATGGGTGATTTGTAAACAGCGAGCTAGTTAGTAGCATGGAGCTAACGGTCCAAATAAAATATAGGAACATTGCAGATAGTAACGTTGTTCTAAATATGATTGTCGGATATTTTACAGCGTTTTTACAGTGTTTGTCTCTGTTGGCCGACGCCCAGGATGATGCTCGCTGGCGCCTCCAGACACATTCATCTGTTTTCTTCTTTGTTGTAAATAATGCGTCACAGCCAATCAGAAGCTTGTAGAAGTTTACATGTGAGCTTCTCTCCAGCTTTGAGTCTGAAATCTGAGGAAGAAGAGGAGTAGGAGGAGGAGGAGGAGGACAGGATGTGATGTAATGTCCCTGCAGAGCTGAACCCTGGCTGGACGCTGTCCTGATGACATCAGCAGCAGTGGTCAGAGTTTCCTGTGATTACAACGGTGGCGTTATATAACAGAGAGAATAAACCAACTGTGTCTGTGGAAAACCTTTAATCTTTAAATGAGAGAAATGATTGACAGGAAAGATATCATCAATCTTTAACGTAGTTGTGACTGGGCATTAAATCATCTTTAATTAAGCACACAATTATATTTCTGGACATCTCAAACTAAGACTTGATTCCATCTTTAATCTTAAAGCTTAAAGCTCTCCTGGTCCCTGAACTCGTCCTGGAAGCAGGTCTGTGGAGTCTCTAGAAGGCGTACGGTCCAACGATGATCGTGAGGCGGAGCAGAGAGCTGGATCGATAATTTAGAGCCGAGTTCTGCGTCACCATCTCTAGGTCCAGGACGTGCTCTCTGGGACCAATCAGAGGACGCGTCATCACCAGCATGCCGCTCACGTTACTGGACCGCTGCAACAAGATCAACCAATGAGCATCAGTGAGAGGAAGGAGGAGAGTTACTGAAAGCGTTATGTGATAGCGTGACGTTAGCACTCTGGCTCATAGCGTAAAGTTAGCGCTCTGACTTGCAGAGCTGCCAACTCTCACGCTTTCGCCGTGTGACACAAGGTTTTGTCTGTTTCACACAAACTCACACCACACATCCAATTTCTCACGCAAAAAAAATCTGATCTTGGGCCGTTTGGTCCCCTGCAGTTTGTACCGTCCAAAAACAAAGTTCTGCTATAGTACACAGAGACTCGTCAGACACTAGGACCCAGCGGAAAACGGCCGCTCAAGCTGAAGCCTGTTTCCCTTAGTTTAGACCCGCCCACAAGCTCCTCGATTGGCTCTGCCGTTTCTTGTGTGATTGGCCGTCCCCGCCGTCACTCCATCCTGCTTGCACACCGGTTGGCTGGAGTTGCCCAGGTAACATCAGAGGTTTCATTTACATTCACGTTTGAATCGGTGTCCATGTGCGTATGTGCGTGCATGTGTGTGTGTCCAGAAAGTTTTTTCTATATTTACATTTACATTCTTTACAACCAGTCAAACCAAAAAAGGGAACAGTAAACGTAAAAGTAGCAATAGAAAACTAGAAGAACTACTATTGTCTACTGAGGGCGCCCGCCGGTTAGCTCAGTCGGTAGAGCTGGCGACCCATATAAGGAGCTGCTGAATCAGCGCGGGTTCAAATCCGACCTGCTGCCCTTTGCTGCGTGCCATCTCCTCTCTCTCCAACCACCATCAGTCTCCCTACAGCTGTGTCTATAAATAAAGCCATCAAAAGGCCAAAAAAAAAAATACTTGTGTCCCCCCCCCACCTCTGAAATCAAAATGTGGTCTGAGCTGAGACTAGGTATGTAACAATGAAATGTCGTCCAATTGAGTACTCGCTCTCTTAAACTTTAAATCTTGAAATAAATATTAGTTTGTGCGTGTTAACATGATTTAGTGTGGTGAAAGCTGTCATAACAAGCAGCAGGAGAGCACCTTGTTAACCTCGTGGTATACTGCATGCTCAAAATATCAGTTTAATACCATTCTAATCAAAATATCAATCAACCTACAGGTACCTAGGTCCAATCTTAAACACTGGTCTATGAATAAGGCTTTATTGTGATACAGGCAGTCATTTAGACACAACAGTAGTTTTCTGGTTGAATGTTCAGCTCAAGTCTAGAAGGCCCTACAAGTCATGATGCCGAACATCACTCAGAATACGTTCAGGTATTACACATCTTTAGCAGACCACCCAAAAATCCACTAGAATGCAGGAAATCACATCTACTTAGTCCAGAATGTCCTGGGGGTGGACCTTCAGCTATGTCTGCTTCTCAGAATGTAACCAATATTGTCCATCTCCAGTCGGCTGCCCCTATCAGCGGCTTTGGGCCTCCACACAAACCACCAGAATGCAGGGTACAACATGGGTACAACATCAAATGAATTCCAATTCTCTGATATCTGAGCCACCAACTTGTGCGGCTGCGTGCGCGGCATCATTTTGGTCACCCCCGACAAAATCTCACTCCAAGGTTTTTTGAAAAGTTGGCAGGTATGGACTTTTAGCATGATGTCAGGAGAACTAGAAAGATCTTGTGAAATTGTATCTAAGGTTATAAGGTTGCTATATGCCAAGCTAATCTATGTTGGAAAAACAACCACATTTTGAAGATGGTTAAAAGATAAAAGAGACATACATGGTCACATCTTAAGTTAGCTAATGCTAGCTACCTAGCCAGCTAATGCACATTATCGGTCACTATTGATGGATGAGATTACAGTCCAGCAGGATGGATGATGAATGGCGGAGTGAGATTAACTGAGTAAATGTGATCAGGTGAGTCAGTGAGAAGAGATTAACGGATCCAGCTCACCCGGAGGAAGAACTGTCCCTCCTCGTTGCCGGCTTTGATCCTGAATGTGTTGTGCATGTTGGGGAAGACGCTGGTGGCCTGAATCTGGAAGATGTCCGCCGGCACAGAACGGTCTGACGTGATGCTCATGTACTTATAGACGATGGAGGGAGGAAATCCTCTGCACGCGCTCAGGGACTGACAGCTGCAGCGTCTGAGGACAGAGGTCAGAGACAACACTGTTACTGCAGGAACATAAAGCTAGAAGTCCTTTAGGAATCAACTACAAGTCCCAGAGAACACTACTGTCAGAGCGCCTTAGAATCAGTGTCTGTGACAGAGATCTGAATCTAAAGCTGAATCTAAAGCTTAATCTAAAGCTGAAAATCAATTTGGTTGCTATGGTGTTCTAGGTGGTTGCTATGGTGTTAGTCAGCGGTTGCTATTACAGAAACCCTCATGAAGCATTTATGGGGAAACAGTTCCCCCACCGCCACCCTCTACTAAGTACAGCCTGCCCCAGACCCTCCTCACAGAGCTCCAGGTCTCACCCCTCTCCGGCCTGGACGTAGGGCTCCTGGCAAGGGTTTCTGGGATAGCAGCGGTAACCTCCAAAGTAGTTCCAGCACACCTGGTCCTCACGGCAGTTTGGTCCCGTTTCACACTCGTTGATATCTGCGAACAGAACCGGAGGGTCCACATCAGAACCAGAACCAGTGGCTGTGTGTGTTATAAGCTGCATGCGGGACCGCAGGCGTGTACCCTGGCACATGCGTGTTCCCTGCAGCTGGTATCCTTCAGGACAGATGCAGCTGTAGGAACTGGGCTGGTTCACACACTGCCACTGACAAAGGTAGGAGGACAGCAGGCACTCATCCACATCTGATAAACAACAAAGAACAACAAACAACAGCAACGTTTCCTAAAGGTTAAAGGTCAGGTCCACTCAGAGATCTGTCTGTGTGTGTGTGTGTGTGTGTGTGTGTGTGGTCAGACCGTGGCAGCTCAGCTGGTCTGGAGCCAGCTCATAGCCCTGTTCACACTGGCACATGAATGATCCCGGCAGGTTGTAGCACAGATGTTGGCAGGGGCTGCTGGGAACACACTCGTTCACATCTGGAACAACAAACACGTCAGTCCACCTTAACTTCAGTCCACCTTAACTTCAGTCCACCTTAATTAGTGCTCTCTGATTGGAGCTCTCTGATTGGAGCTCTCCGATTGGTGCTCTCCGATTGGAGCTCTCCGATTGGTGCTCTCCGATTGGAGCTCTCTGATTGGTGCTCTCTGATTGGTGCTCTCTGATTGGAGCTCTCCGATTGTAGCTCTCTGATTGGTGCTCTCCGATTGGAGCTCTCTCATTAGTGCTCTCCGATTGGAGCTCTCCGATTGGTGCTCTCTGATTGGAGCTCTCTGATTGGTGCTCTCTGATTGGTGCTCTCTGATTGGTGCTCTCCGATTGGAGCTCTCTGATTGGTGCTCTCCGATTGGAGCTCTCTCATTAGTGCTCTCAGATTGGAGCTCTCTGATTGGTGCTCTCTGATTGGAGCTCTCTGATTGGAGCTCTCT